GTGGTGATATTTTATTTGTGCTTTAATAAAGCTTGCCTGGAGATCAAGGGGAAAGGCCAGCCATTTTAAGTAAACAAAAAGTCAGGCAGCACACACCCTTAATCCAATCACTTATCAGGCAGGGTCTCTGTGTGTTCCATGCCATATTAGGGAACAGAGCCAAGTGTGGTGACAGATGCCTTTAATCTCAGTACCAACCATAGAGACCTGGAGGTCTGTACAGACAGACAGTGGCAAGGAAGTGAGGGAGCTGGGCTAAGAGCCAATGAGAGGGCAGAACAGCCAGGCAATAAAGGTGTGGGCAAGACAGGAAGTAGCTTGCATTTGGAAGCTACAGAGTTGGTGAGGTAAGGTTGGCTGGTGGCTTTCCCTATTTCCATGATCTTTCTAAGGCTTTAACCCCTATATTTGGCTCCGTGTTTTTTATTTAATAAGACCATTTAGAAATTCGTCTCCAGTTGTGTATGATGGAACACACCTGTTTTAATCCAGCACTCAGGAGTCTGAGGCAGGAGACTTGCTATAAGTTCAAGCATATCTGTGCTACATAATGTGTTCCAGGCCAGCCTGGGTCACAGAACAAAACCCTTTCTCAAAAACCAAAACAACTAATAATAACAAAAGTCCTGATCTTAGCCATGGCCCACATAAACTTGGGCCAAAGAGAACACGTAAAATCCTGGTTTTTACATAACAGTGATAGACTTGATGATTTGACACTCTGTCAATATATGTTCTTTTCTGAGATACACTCACAAAGTAGCAGTAACTAGAACTGACCTGCTTAGCACCTGGCTTCTGTTCCATCGGTGTCATGGTGAGTGTCCTGGTCTCCTTCTCATACCGGCAGTAGTATTTCACCCATGAGATCCCCAGAGCCCCTACAAAGACAGGAGAAAATGAACTAGCAGAATATTTCAGCTCCCCAAAGCAGAAGACGTTTGTTTTCCTTTCCAGTGCTTGAAGTTGAGTCCAAGGCCTCTACATTCTATGCATATTCCCAGGCTATTGCTTACTTTTTGCAGACAAACCCCAGGTCAATCTCTGCCCTTCACCTGTGCTCTATCTATACCTACCCCACTTACCCACTGTACCCACAGAGACCTCACCAACTGTTTCCCATATCCATTCTTGGCTCATTCCAAACCTACTCTCCCTGCAACAGTTGCTGGGAATCAAGACACCTATGCATCCAGAAGCTGGAAAGCCCTGCCAGTGTTCCTCTTTCCTGAAACCTCTCATTTGACTACCATTGAGTTGTGTCCATACCACTCCTTACATGTCTCTCCTTCAGCTATCTCCACTTCTCCTACCCTTTTAGCAATGAATTAAAGGGTGTCATCACTGTCTTGTTTTTCTAATACGTATAACATTTACCAATGAAATACAAATTTACTTTTACTCTCATTAATCAGTTCAAGCAGATGTCTCTCTTTTCCCCATTTCTGATGCACTCCTGTCCAACTCATCTTCATCATTATACTAGACCAGTACTGTAAATACCTTTCCATTGATGTCATTTCCCTTGCAAATCACACATGCCTTTCCTACTCTCTCCAGACAACTTAGTCCACCGTCAAAGTCCTGCATAATTTGATCAAACTGGCCATTCTGTGCTGTGGGATGGTCTGTATGTTAAATTACTCTGATTGGTCAATAAATAAAACACTGATTGGCCAGTGGCTAGGCAGGAAATATAGGCAGGACTAACAGAGAGGAGAAAAGAAAGAACAGGAAGACCGAAGGAGTCACTGCCAGCTGCCACCATGACAAACAGCATGTGAAGATGCTGGTGAGCCATGAGCCACGTGTCAAGGTATAGATTTACGGAAATGGATTAATTTAAGCTATAAGAACAGTTAGCAAGAAGCCTGCCACGGCCATACAGTTTGTAAGCAATATAAGTCTCTGTGTTTACTTGATTGGGTCTGAGCGGCTGTGGGACTGGCGGGTAACAGAGATTTGTCCTGACTGTGGGAAAGACAGGAAAACTCTAGTTACAATTCTGGACTTGTCATTGGGCATCCATCACCTCTATGACCCTGTGTCAGTGAATTACTTCTAGTTCCCAAATACTTCAGTGGGCATATAGTTTGTACTGTAAACTCAGCATGTATTTAAAATGGATGCACACAACATGTATTTAAGAATGAAGAATTACATCAGAACAACAAGGGCTATCCTAAACAAACCAAGACCTAAGCATGAGGTATGTTCTCCATCACTCCTGTGCCTCAACTCATATAGTAGTACACATCTGGAGTTCTCTACCAAGTCCTAGCCCAGTTTCTATTTACCTGTCACACTCTCACTGAACATTCAAGTTCTAGGTCAAGCATCACTGCCTCAGAGAAGTTCTTAGATATATGCCCCAAAGAGGGTGCTCGAAATCTTTCATGAATACTTTCCTATCTCCCCTATCAGTCTGAGAATTGCTTTGAGAAAAGAAAAAAAGAAAAAGAAAACATGTTATCACTTTTTTTTTTGTACTCTCAATGTGTTGCATAGCATTTGGCAGAAACAATGCTTGTGAGTGTTCATTCAACTGAGGGACAGCCATTTGACTGAAAACTGAGGCACAGAGGCACCGTACAGTATGTAGCAGAGGTTCTCAAGTAGGGACGTGTTTACTCCACTGTAGACAGTTTAGGTTGTCATGTACGGAGAAAACTAGGATGCTGCTCGCCATGTTACACTGTACAGGCTCTGAGGGTGGTGAGTGGGATAGGATACACTGGGAAGAGTATCAGTTTGAGCATAGGATACACCTGAATTGGATCTTAGATCTAGTGCTTGTTCTAAGCCTCAGTGGTCTCTGGTTTAAAATGAACATAATGTGGAATCAAAGATTAAATGGGATGAGGCTTTTAGAGCACTGCACATCATATGAGCAATCAATATGATCTTTCTGCCTTCTTTGCCCTACCTTCTTTTTGACCCAAAATTCATCGTACACAATTAACATTCCACATATTGAATCTCAGAAAAAAAAAATTAGATCTTACTGCTCCAGAGACACAGTGTTCCAACTCCCCCTCAAGTTTCTTCCTTTTACATTTTTTTTCTATTCCCACCCTGCCTTCCAAGGAGTTGTATCTGGCATGGATCTATGAACAGAAATTCCCAGCGTTCAGAAAGGTAAAGTGGCAAGCCAACTGGAGCCCTGCATGCCCACACACATTTCTCCTGTGTGTAGAGATAGCCTTCAATGGTTGGCTGTCCCGGAAGCTTGCATGTCTGAGGAGCTTCTTTCATCCTTTTCTTAAGTTCTTCCATCTCTTCTCGGGTACTGGAGAAATGATTTCTTGTCTGTCAAGAGACCATTACAGTCATTAGCACCACTATCATCAGCAGGACTGTGTATTTACAGGTCATGGGTATAGTACAGAGATTTCTATGCTCACAGCATGTGCTAAAACATATAGAAGACTGCTGAATGGTAGTGACTAGAAATAATTCTAGAGTTTAATGGGATTATGAAGTAGAAAAGAAACAAAAACACAGCTACCACAAGAAGCCAGAGGTTCTACCCAATGGGTTAATTCAAGCTTCAAGTAAATGAGATTAGGCTGACCCTACTTTAACCGAAGGACAACTTAATTATGTTAGTGAAGAAAAGGAGAACTACACTGGTCGGCCCCAGCTGTCAACTATACTAACAATGAGTCAGCCATGAGTACACATGCAAACGCCTGGGATTAGCTCACATTTGTCAAGTTACACATGGCAGAGGAGTCAACTTGACTGTAGAAAGATTGTGTAAGTCAGCAGAAAACAGGCACTCTCACGTTCAGGTAAAGGAGAGAACCCAGAAGGAAGGAATAAATTCAGAAAGAAAAAAGTAGGTAAAACTGTCTATCACAATTGTCTATCACAATCCCCCTAAGCAAGCATCTGATCAGCAGTTTTGAATTTAAAAACAGATCTATAAAGGCCATGCAATGTAGCACCCAGTCCAATGTCACCTGATCTTAGTAATACCTTCTCTGTTGGTCTGATTCCACATAGCAACAAATACTATAAAGGATTATGATGTATCTGTGGTTAAGCCTCTACTCAAAGAAAATATATGATCATCCAAGACAGACAAATGTTGATGCCTCCTTCTGGTATGCCAGAGACTTCTACATTGTCTTACACAGGGTGTATTTTCATGGTATCCATAAATATGCATCAAATGTGGGCTAAGTGATAAACTTAGTAAATACTCATGTTCCAATACATAAAAATGTCATCTGTGCTCATTTATAAGAACTAGCACGTACAACGAGATGGAGAAGTACTTTAACATTGAGAGAAGGAAGAAGATAAACAAGGGCATTCATAATAATAGAGCCCACATGTGTCTTAATTGACTTCGGAATTAGCTTAAGGCCTAAGCCTTATATTTAAATAAGCCTAAAGCTGGATTGTGATTGTGAGCGATACAGTAAAGTACCCACACTTAATAAATCCTGGCTAAATAGAGGCGTTCCTGAATAGAGGATAGGTTTGAACATCAGGAAGCCTCAAAGAAAGGAAGAGTCAAAACTGAAAAAGCAAGAACACACCACTACGCTAACATGTTTGTACTCCACACCACTTTGTCTGACAAATGGGCTGCAGTGCAACAACCTGTAATTCCACAGTTAAGACGACTGGGGCTCAAATCTCAATGGCAGGAAAAGACATCCATATGCAACTCACATTCTGTAAACTGAGCTGCAGCTGCTGTTTGTATGGGAGGAAATCCTGCGTGAGCTCCACAGTCAAGCTGTTGGAAATGAAGAGGCTGTGAAGAAAGGCCAAGACCTAGGGGAGACAGACAAAAGTCACCTTTAGAAACTTACCATTATCTATCACCACCTAACTGATCACATAAAGGAACCAGAAAGTCAGGGAAGAACTCCTCCTGAGTGTTTACCGAGTACAATGTTCACAGCAGTCACAGTGGCACAAGCAGGTACACACATATTAGTATTCTTGGGTTAAGTTAGACACTTCACCTGCATTCAGTCTCAGAAAGGAAATAGCAAATCCAGGTCTTTTTCGAGTACATACAAAGCCACTCAGGAAATAGATACTGCAGGAACTGACTGCCTCTCTTCTCTAAACTGGTGCAGCATCTCTCATCCAAAAACATCAAATCTAAAACTGAACATTTTCAAGGACAGATGTAATGCCAAAAACGGAAATGTTTACACCTGACCTCATGTGGTAAATCTCAGGCACACTGTGAAAAATGTAAACACACTAAAAATATTGCATTAAATCTTTGGGTTATGAGTATAGGGGGGTTAAGACTTCGTGTTTAAACTGAAGGCCCATTTAAGATATATCATTATATGAATATAAATATTCTGACATTTCTTTCGAAAATCCCAACCACTTCTGGTCTCAAGCATTTTGGGTAACAGATATTCAACATATATATCCACAGGAATAGCCCATAGTAGTTACTTCTTGCAAAAGATGACATACAAATGATGAGTAGTCCCCTTTTTAAGTTTCAAAACATTCAAGCCATGGCTGTGAGATGGCTCAGTGGGTAAAGTCACTTGCAGCACAAGCCTGACGACCTGAGTTCAATCCCCAGAAAGTTGAAAGGAGAGAATGACTCCACAGTTATCCTTTTATCTCTACATATATGCCATAGCATATATATCCCTCACAATAATAATAAATCTATTTTTCATTCAATTCCATTAAAAACCAAATGTATGTAAACAAAACTAAAAGAAAATATAATTTTCCTTCATCAAATTATAAGTAAATAAAATAAATGTTCAATGTTTGCAAAGTATAGTAGGTAGACGTATACATGGTTCCATTTGTTTTAGATAGCAAATAGATGAAATGTATAAACGTGTGCACATACCTGACATAAACAAGGTATAAACATAAAAACAATATAATGGCCACATACACGTACATTTATGACAAGTATGTGGTAGAGAGATATGTTCACTGCTTTCACATTTATATCCACAGTCCTTCCTGTTTCTCTCCCAAACTTCACCTCAAGAAATAACATCACCACTCAGCAGTCAGTCAAACCAGGAACTAAACAATCAGCCCTGGTTTCTTTTTAACTCACATCTAAGTCCAATTCAACAGAATTTTTTGCTAGTGTTTCCTCCAAAATCCCATTTTAAATGCTAGAGATAGAACCTAGGACCTTGTACATGCTAGGCAAGCATTCTAACACTGCACTATATCCCCAACCATGCAAAATAGTTTTCTAACCTAGCTATGCTTTACTGTTTCTACTTCCACCACACCAATTCAAGTGAATGCGTCTTCTTGCCTAGATCACTGTAGTATTTGCTTACTTAATTTGAGAGAGCCTAGTTTTGTATCCCAGGCCGACCACAAACTCATGATTCTCCTGCCTTTGACTCCCCTCCTGGTGTGGATATTACAAGTGTGTGCCACCTCATCCAGTCTATAATAGCTTCTTAACTGTTTTCCTAGGCTGCTGTCTAGCATTCACCACACAACAAAATTGTTCCCTGTCAGGTCATACTTAATAGCCTTTAGTGGCTTTCCATGGTGCTTAAGTTGACATCCTAACCATATCCTATGCCAATGGGTCCCATGACTTCAGTCATACATCACTTTCTGCAACTCCCTTTTCTTCTACAAGTATCTGAAGACACACACCTTCTTTTAATTTTTTTGAGAATGTGTAAGTATTCTTTTCTCACTATCATGAAGGCACGCAGGATTTTATCAAAGGCCTTTCTACATCTATTAAGATGATGATGTGGTTTTCATCTTTAAGTCCATTTATATGATTTATTTCAAATGTTGAACCAACCCTGCACCGTGGGATAAAGCCAACTTGGATGATCTTTGTGATGATATATGCCTGTATTCAGCTTACAGTAGTTAATTGAGATATTTGAATCTACGTTCACTAGGGAAATTGGCTTAGAATTCCTGTTCCTGCTATGTCTCTACCTGGCTTTGGCTACATGCTTTCCCCCTTTAATTCTCTATAAATGGCACTTACTGGGATCTTTCTCACCCCACTGATGTAAATTTTTGCCATGTTAGACATAATTTGTTTCTTTCATAGATCTTATCACAATTTAACAGTTTGGATTACATGCATAGTTCTGTCCCTTCTTTCTACCCCATGAGAGTATCGTGTTCATAAATGAGAAATTGTCAATCTGATTTACTACAGTATACCCAGTATCTAACACAGTGCCTGGACTACAACAAAGTATTGATGCTTCTTCAATAGAATGCATAGTTGTTTTCATGTAGTACATATAGAATTATAAAAATGTAGGCATCAACACATGTATACTCAGACGTTCACGCTCATGTACCATATATGTAGAAACATTCACACTCAAAAGTATGCATCATACACATAGAAAGAGATATACTATGTATACAAGCAAAATGGAAGTGAAGACAGCATATAACTAAGGCAGATTATTTTTATATAAACAAATTTTTGATCACCCTATACACTATTTTAAACATTTATGTGATGAATGCACTTAGTAATAAAAAGTTATCAAAGTCAGCATATTTTCAAATCAAAACACACTAAATTTTGTAATAAATTAAAGGGAATTTAGTAGAAACAATTACACAAGGTAGATATAAAAACAATAGAACAGGAAGTGATTAAATGTAAGGGCCATGAGTTCTTAGCACAGGCTAAAATATATGACACATAGTTTTAAAAGCTTTCTGAAAGCATGAGGGGAAGAAAGCCAGAAAGTCCAGGCCCAGATGTATTCACAGCAGAAAAACGTAAGATTTTCAAAGAAGATCTACAAAATATACTTCTTACACTGTTTTTAAAAATAGAAATAGAAAGAGTACTTCCAAACTCCTTTTACAAAGCCAGTACTATTTAATAGCAAAACCAGGTAAAGACACACACACACACACACACACACACACACATACACACACACATACACACACACACACACTATTCCTAATAAACACAGATGCAAAAATCTTCAATAAAATACTTGCAAACTGTATTTAGGCACATATCAAACAGATTACCTATCATGACCAAGTTAGATTAAGCCCAGTGATGCAGGGCTAGTTCAATACAGGTAAACCAATAATGTAATAAATCATATAAATGAACATAAAACAAAATTCACATCATCATCTCAATAGATAAAGAAAAAGCCTTTGACACAATCCAACATGACTTCATAAGAAAAGTCCTAGAGAAAGTACAACTGTGTCATGGAGATCCTGTAGCTCTGGGTCCATAGAAGCAACCCCACCCCACCCCACCCCTGTGCTTCAGTAGATCATAGGTGGGGTGGATGTTGGGATGGACCCACCCATCTCCCTCCCCTCCAGAATAAAACAAAACAAATTTTAAGAGAAAAGAGGAAGCCAGGCGGTGGTGGTGCATGCCTTTAATCCCAGCACTCAGGAGGCAGAGGCAAGCATATCTGTGAGTTCAAGGCCAGCCTGGTCTACAGAGCGAGATCCAGGACAGGTACCAAAACTACACAGAGAAACCTTGTCTCCAAAAACCAAAAGAGAGAGAGACAGAGAGAGATACAGAGAGACAGACAGACAGAGATACAGAGAGACAGAGAGACAGACAGAGACACAGACAAAGACAGAGAAATAGACAGAGAGAGAAAAGGGGGGAAAGGGAGAAAGGGAAGATCTTGCCATGGAAGCTGCAGTGTGACACAGTGATTCGCGCAGTAAACCCCATTATCCATTATCCATACCTTTTAACATGCAGATGCCCATCACAAAGAGTCATTGGTTTTGGTTCAAGGCCCCTGGTCTCTGCTACACCATCGATGCTGGACCCTCACTGGAACTCTCCCTGGATATGCTGTTGCTGCCCTGTGATGTGGAAATCCTGTACCCCCGACTCCACAGGACCAACCCCACTCCCACCCCCACCTCCAGTCGCAGGGTTGGTCAGCCTGCCAGCTCTCCCATCTTCACCACCAGGGTGAGTTCTCCAGCACTGCCCTTGGTTCTCCCTGTGGAGCAATGAGCAGGCAGTGGGGCCAGTTCGTCTGCTTTCAAACATCCTCAGGGGCAGTTCTCCCACACCTACACTTTCAGGGCCAACACCACTGTGTTGCCCAGGCAAGGTGTAGGGGCTGGGACAGCTCTCCTGCTCTTATGACCTCAGGGCCAGCCCTTCCACCTGCCTCGGGCATTGATGAATGGAGGGGGCAGGGAGGGAGGGAGGGGGCTCTTCCCCCTACCCCACCACCACCACCACATGACAGATGAGTAATGGGCACAGCTCTCCCATGCTCAAAACTTTGGGCCTGGCTTGCCCACACCTCCGCCACAGCTCTACTATACTGCCCAGGCAAGGTGCAGGGTTCACTCTCCCAAGTGCTCACCCACACCTCCACCAATGGGGTTGGCTCTATTGTGTTGCCCAGGTGAAGTGCAGGGCCTGTTCTCAGGAGTGTTGCAGCTGGTGGCCAGCAGGTGTGGGTGAGCCAGCCCCAATGTTGTGAGCACGGTAGAGCTGTCCCCATTACTCATCTGTCATGTGGTAGCATGGGCAGGGGAGAGATGCCCACCTCCCCCACACCCATCAACACCTGAGGCATGTGCAAGAGCTGGCCCTGAGGTCATAAGAGCAGGAGAGCTGGCTCTGCCCCCATCAGCTGTAGCACTTGGGAGAGCGGCCCCTTCGCCATGTCTAGGCAACACAATAGAGCTGATCCTGAAGGTGTAGATGTGGGTGAGCAGGCCCTGAGGACATGAAGCAGGAGAAATGGTCCCACCCCTTGCTCATTGCTGCAAGGGGTGAACTAGGAGGGCCAGGC